CCCTCCCTCTCTTGCTTGGAAACAAAAAATCACTAGCAAATTTTTTGAAAAAGATTCTGTCCATAGTCCCTCGTAAGAACTGCTTGCGCATATAGGTTCAAGCCACACTATACTTAGTTGGGTTTTGAACAGTTTTTATTCAAATATATACATATGTGGTAGCTGTACTCTTGTGTTCTTGCAGCGTGTAGCACACTGTCCACGGTGTACTGTTGGTGTAATCAAGCCAGATATCGTTTTCTTCGGTGAAGATCTCGGCAAAGATTTTCATACGCAAATGGCTATTGATAAAGACGAAGTGGATTTGTTAGTAGTCATCGGTGGGTTTGACGCTTCACGCTAAGGGTTCTATCTGCGCATAATGCCCTTCTTCAGGCTCTTCATTGAAAGTTCGTCCAGTTTCATTGATTCCGTTCAGCGTCAATCCCAACGTGCCTCAGATTTTGATAAACAGGTAAGACCTCGCTTGTTAGAACATTGCCTAAGATTAAACGTTAGTATTCTCGTGCGCATGAAATTGCGGTCATGTAAGATAGAGTTACAGGGCTTATCAACAGCACTGTCGGGTGCACCAGCATGTCCGCTCTCCTGGCCACTTCGCCTGGATTCTGCACCTCTCTCGCGAACATGCTCTTTAAACACTTGCCGTCCGCGAGCGTCGAAAAACCGGAGCTTCAGAGGATTGAATATGATTAGAGAGCAGCGGAAGAGGTGCAGAGTCCCACGCGGGGTGGAGAAGCTGGTCCACCCGAACTGCTGTTGATAAGCCCTGTATGTGTACTCGGGGGTTTTTCTGTCTGATATGCTTCATCATTTTTTGCAGGGAACCCCTCTCAGGATACAGAGCGGACATTGAGTTACTTGGCAACTGTGATGATATTATTGAGGATATTTGCTTAGCTCTCGGCGGCTCGTTCGTCGAAATGCTGGAGGCACACCGTGAGTCTGGACATCGCTTTGCATCTAACTTGTTAGCATGCACTAGTGCCTCAGAAAGTAAGCTCAAAGAGCGATCAAACGCACCTGCCGCCAATGCCACTGCCAATAACAAGCAAAGTACTACATCGACCGAAACAGCTAGGAGAAGGAAATGCATTACAGAAGAGGAATTCATCCAGGTAAGGTATCAAGCAAACTGGACTTCACAGCTGCTAGAATTTTGTCGCTCTCAGATCATGAAACGGCTGCAAATCTCGGAGAAATGTGAGGAGAACGGTGACCAGGAAGAGGTTGCAGTGAAACGACCGCGACTGGAAGACATGTATGACAGGCGGTACATTCCGGTTGCCAAGCATCTTCCAGAGCATACATATTTCCAGGTAAATCATGTGTGCATTCAGATCGCTTTCAGTTTGAAGGAATTTTTTCTTCTAAGGTTTCTACAAATAGAGCTGTATTTCCTGGAGCTGAACTCTACTTCGATGTTGAGACCGGTGCCATTTGTCAGCCGACTTGTTATCGGTAGGTGTCTCGCACTTGTTTGTAGAATAATATCGTTGATTGAGCTTTTGCGGATGAATCTATTTCATGGCGATTGCAGTAATTTTTTCTTGTAAGCCAATTTTTCTCCAGGGAAGATCCAAATTTTTTTTGAATGCTTCCAGTTCTGAAAGAATACATGACGAGGTTAAATGCGGATTTTGTAGTTGTCTAAATCATTTCTAATTTGAAACAAGCTGCTACACATTTGTATAAGTCGTGTCGACCACTATCAAAAATCTCGCGATTATCCTCGAGAGGATAGATCGCGAGATTTTTGATAGTGGTCCTGCGGGGGGGAGGAGTGCGTCTGTCTCCCGCTGTTGTAGT